GGCGTAGGATCACTTTGTCTTTGTGAAGAATCAGAAATAGCTCCCTACAAGAGAGAGCTGCCAATTAAGAAACAAGTCTGATAGACATAATAGCATTTCGGAAGGCCACGTTGTAGGAGAGATCATGCAAAGTTTCCTAATCGGTTCAAATGGTGGTTTATGCAAGACAAAGAGAACCAAATTAAGATCCCAAGGAAGCAGAGGGTGCTGTAAGGGTGGCTTGATTCAAGATAAAATAATAAACTTGTTGGGCATACAATGATTCCTCTGTAAGGGAGAAGATAACAATCACCTAAGGACACTAGCAAAAAACAGAGGTGCTACAGAGTGGTGTAGGGTTGTAGGAGTACACCCAGAGGGCAAGTCCAACAAAGCTTTATGAGTGTCCAATTACCTTACGGTAGCAGCCAATAATCCAGGGTCTGCAAATATCCTTTATCTGTACTGTATGATTAAGATATCTTCTTTGTGCTCACAAAGCTTATGCAGTGCCTAAAGACTTCTATGGAACCTTGTCCCAAGTATATCCTGCCTCAGCAGGCAGTCCCATAGGAGTTTATGAGCATCTACTGAGCAGGCTCAGCCACAACACTGAATAACTTATGGGCAGGATGAAAACATTGCAGCAGGCTGTGGGCAAGTAGGCAGAAGAATGTGGGCAAAAAATGATAAGTGTACTTTGGAAAAAAACATGGGAACAAAAAAAAAAAAAAAAAAAAAAAAAGGAAATAAATTTAATATATTTCAGTTTACCAGTCCTTAGATGTGATGGCTGCATTATTTTTCATTTCTCAGGCTCAGCAAGCACAGAAAATACCTGCTTATCTTGCCAGAAATACAGTGTTCTTGTCACTTCCTGAGAGCAGCATTGAAAACAAAAAACATAAATATCTCTTTTTCGATAAAATACTAATCTCCCCGTTTCACATGTGATGAAGATGAAGACATGTTTGAAGTCCAGGGACAGGAAGTCTGCTATTCACAGGATTATAAGGTGAAAAATAAATGATAAATGAAAGAAGAAAAAATAACAATTATATTCTATACAGAAACTAATGCAGACACCACATCAAAGGAATGGTAAGATGCAATATTTTACATTTTTGGGGGGGTTTAGATATAGTTTAACTGTTGTAACCTCCCCTAGCAATGTCGCAGTGTCCCAACTCCATCATTATGCTTGCTCAGCATACAAATGAGGATAAAATTATACATTTTGTTTGTATACTAAGGTCTCATGCACACAGGATGTTTTTGCAGCCACTTTTAGGGGCATCAGGCTGTTTTGTTTTTTTTTTACTGCTTCCAAATGGCCCTCTATGTTATCCTATGTGTCCACGCACACTTTTAGAAGCTTTTAGTAGCAGTAACATTTACCAGCAGGAAAAAAAAATCCCAGGGCCAATGCATCCAGGAGCAGCACAGTTTTGGCAGAAAAATCGCTTGACGCATCTAAATGCATTTTAACACTAGGCATGTTTAGCACTTGAACATTAATCCATTTCAATAGCCAGAAAAAATTATCATTCTGGCCAATGAACTGAATTAACACCCAAGCGCTTGATACTACTAAACGCGCCTAAATGCTTGTTAAAAGTGTTAGATACTTTTACAAGCGTCAGGTGTTTTGTTTCTGCAAAAACACTGCTGCCAGGAGGAGAGCTTCTAAGAGAAATTTTTTTAAGGTCCTGTGTGCAATAGTTACAAGTATTAGCTGCATACAGTTATCAGAATACATCACTTTTTACAATAGCGGTCCTAGTGTATGCATGACGTAGATTTTTACTGCTTCCTGCTGCCGCCTCCCAGCTGTTTAAGAGGTTCTAAATGCTGGGAGGTGGAGGCGAGCGTTCTGATCATGTGACGGGGGTCACATGATCGGAAAGCTCCTGATTGCAAGTAGTCGTCGGGGGCTTTCCGGTACCTGCCGGTAACTGTGCTGTGAGTGAGCATTTAGGACGCATATATGTGGCCTCTCTACGTTAAAGCCCAACTGCCTAGAGGCCGCATATATGTGTACGGCAGGCAGAAAGAGGCTAAAGTGGTTGCAAATCCTTACATATACCCAGTGAGGTGACTGGCCTCAGGTGATACACAAAGATGAAACAAATCCTCCTACATAAATTGTACTTGTCTATATGCAGTTTTTTTTAATTTGAATTTACACACTGCACAGCTCAGTGAAGAGTGCTCTGAGAGCTGATAAGAGGGAAGGAACACATTCCTCCTTCACAAAGCACACATGAACAGAGCCAAGGATGTCAATCTTATGGAGGTCCCTCCCCGTCACCATTTTTTCTCTTGGTGTCAGGAAAACTTGTCAGAGGTGATTCATGCTGATAGCAAAGGAATGAAGCAGCAGACAGAAATGACACTTAGGGGGCGATTTACTAAAACTGGAGCACTCAAAATCTGGTGCAGCTGTACATTGTAGCCAACGTCTAACCATAGTTTGTTTGATTAAGCTTTGAGAACAAAACCTGGAAAATAATTTGTTTCTCTGCAGACCTGCACAGATTCTCTACTCTCCAGTTTTAGTAAATCTCCCCGGTGGTGCTCTTAATTGAGACAAGTACACACTATAGAGGGATAGGTTTTGTTCATATTTTATGTCTGAGGTTTACAGCCACTTTAATGATTAGGTGTAAACAGCTATAATGTCACATCACCAATAAATTGTATTTGCATACATAATGGCAATGGACACAAAATGGCTGCTCTACAGAGCGGAAGCGACAGATAACACGATCCACACTTTCTATGCAGTTGATATAGGAGTCAGAAGAGTTGTATGGAAGAACAAACAGCTTGTTATGCCAAACAGAAGGAAAAAAAGAAAAATGAGTTTGTGACCCCAATCATGTCAACAATATGAAAAGTGACAATTACAGAGAGGAATTTCACCATGCTGGAAATACACAAACAACGTGCACATTTAATTATGAAGTGAGCCAGGCTGAGGTCTCATTATGACAGATGCTGGGTAGAGGCTGTGTAATGAGAGATCACAATATGCAATCTCCATTCCCTGGCACTGCCCACCTTACACTACCCCTCTAATTACCAAGTCATTACAATTCCTTGTTTTCATTAACGCACTGTAATAACCGCACTAATTAACACAGCCTAGGCACCTCACATATTATTTCATGTCCACATCTATTTCTGTCTTTTGCTGCTGTACATGAGTAATTAATGTTAGGAGTTGAGAAAAAAAAAAAGTTAATGAATCTGGTCCTACAGTAGGTACAAAGCATCTGGTCCTACCGTAGGTACAAGGCATCTGGTCCTACAGTAGATACAAGGCACCTGGTCCTACAGTAGGTACAAGGCATCTGGCCCTACAGTAGGTACAAGGCATCAGGTTCTACAGTAGGTACAAGGCATCTGGTCCTACAGTAGGTACAATGCATCTGGTCCTACCGTAGGTACAAGGCATCTGGTCCTACAGTAGATACAAGGCACCTGGTCCTACAGTAGGTACAAGGCATCTGGCCCTACAGTAGGTACAAGGCATCAGGTTCTACAGTAGGTACAAGGCATCTGGTCCTACAGTAGGTACAATGCATCTGGTCCTACCGTAGGTACAAGGCATCTGGTTCTACCGTAGGTAAAAGCAGGATTATGAAGTGTGTATTGTTAGAACGAAAATACATTTGAAGCCCGATTGAACCATCAGTTTAAGGCTCCATGCAGACTAGCGATTTTTTAAACTCCTAGAAGCTAAATAGTGTTATCATATGTGTCCAAGCTATTAGCGTTTTTTGAGCTTCAGCTTCTAGGAGCTTTTTCTTTTTTTTTTCTTTTCCTTCCGGAGCGCGGTGAGAATGGGAGGACGTCATATGACGTCCTCCCAGAACGAGAGAACTACCTTGCGCCCGTCATTGGACTATATGGCGGGTGAGAGGCGGTTAACATTCACACAAAGATTTATCCAAAAGTGAAAAAAACTGTTTCTCCTGTACAATCAAGATTCATCCTGGCAAAATGTGAACTAACAAACTCACCCAGCTAAAGTCACATAATAAACAGAACGAATCCTAAGAGAAAATTCTGGGCAATACTGTCAAATCTTACTTGGGTGAATTTAGCTTTTTTGGCACTAGTCAAATTTCACCAGAGAATCATTGATAAACACACCCCTAGGAGTCAAGTCTGATCTGATTAAAATTACAGACTTTCCATAAGGCCTGAACTTCTATCAGCAGTCCTTAAAGTTCATCTCCAGAAAATAAAATAATCGCTTTCCACTCCACCTATCCCTGGTCAATATCCAGTGTTTTCAGTTTAAAGTCTAAAAAAAACCCTGGCTACTTATCTAAAAATTGTAGTCATGTGATAGGCAGAGCCCCAATTCTTTTCTCTTCCGATCTGTAGTGTGAAAGGCTCTCCTTTGTGTGGAAGAATTGCTTACTGCTGACACTGCCCATTGGCTGCCAGAAGTGTCCATCACAGGAGGACCCTTACAGAGTATATTGGAGAGTGCAGGAAGTTGTATGGGAAAGGGAGTGTGGGGCCTGGCATAAGCATACACTATATTGGCAAAAGCATTGGGATGCCTGCCTTTACATGCACATCAACTTTAATGGCATCCCAGTCTTAGTCCGTAGGGTTCAATATTGAGTTGGACCACCCTTTGTAGCTATAACAGCTTCACCTCTTCTGGTAAGGCAGTCCACAAGGTATAGGAGTTGTCTATAGAAATGTTTGACCATTCTTTCAGAAGCGCATTTGTGAGGTCAGGTACTGATGTACGACGAGAAGGCCTGGCTCGCAGTCTCCACTCTAATTCATCCCAAAGGTGTTCTATTTGGTTGAGGTCAGGACTCTGTGCAGATCAGTCAAGTTCCTCCACCCCAGACTCGCTCATCCATGTCTTTATGGACCTTGCTTTGTGCACTGGTGAGCAGTCATGTTGGAACAGGAAGGGGTCATCCCCAAAAGGTTCTCACAAAGTTGGGAGCATGAAATTGTCCAAAATGTCTTGGTATGCCGACCCCTTAAGTGTTCCCTTCACTGGAACTAAGATGCCAAGCCCAACCCCTGAAAAACAACCCCACACCATAAACCCCCCTCCACCAAACTTTACACTTGGCACATTGCAGTCAGGCAAGTACCGTTTTCCTGGCAATCACCATATCAGAACACATCCACCAGATTGCCAGACAGAGAAGTGTGATTCGTCACTCCAGAGAACATGTCTCCACTGCTCTAGAGTCCAGTGGCGGTGTGCTTTACACCACTGCATCTGACACTTTGCACTTGGTGATGTAAGGCTTGGATGCAGTTCCTTGGTCATGAAAACCCATTGCATGGAGCTCTCTACGCACTGTTGTTGTACTAATCTAAAGACCACACAAAGTTTGGAGGTCTTCAGCTATTGACTCTGCAGACAGATGGCGACTTCTGTGCACTGTGTGCTTCAGCATGCGCTGACCCCGCTCTGCCATTTTACGTGGCCTACTACTTCGTGGCTGAGTTGCTGTTGTTCCCAGTTGCTTCCACTTTGTTATAATACCACTAACATTTGACCTTGGAATATTTAGTAGGAAGGAAAACTCACAGATGGACTTATTGCACAGGTGGCAACCTATCATGGTACCATGCTTGGAGTCACTGAGCTCCTGAAAGCGACCCATTTGTTCACAAATGTTTGTAGAAGCAGTCTGAATGCCTAGGTGCTTGATTTTATACACCTGTGGCCATGGAGGTGATTGGAATATCTACACCCAGTGATCTGGAGGAGTGTCCCAATACTTTTGGCAATATAGTGTATATCAGTGAGGAAATTGCTCAGCTCTATATTTGTTCCAGATCAGTAAAGGGAAACATACAGAGCTAAAGTGCCCCAAGGACAACCAAGCAAATAGTATTTTCAGAAGAGGTCTAAAAAAAAAAAAGTGGTAAAGCCTAATTGAACGTTTATTTAAAATCAGTTAAATACACTGCTAAACAAAAGGTGTGCAAAGTCTTTAACGTTTGTTTCTTTCCTAAAAAGAAGTCACAGCCTGAGTAGAAAAGCCTGTCCCCTTTCAGTATGCTGTTGAGAGCAACTCTTGCCCTCTGTGGGGAAGTCGTGATCTCTCTGCAGAGACCCATGCCTCAAGTCAGAACTAGCGCTCTCCAGTCAGCATGAAGCAGAACATTTCCTGATTAGTCAGCTGTGTCAGACCTCTTCAGTGAGACCACTGCTCCACACAGAGAGCAAGGCTCTTTCTCTACAGCATGCTGACAGAGAACTGTATTCTCTACTCTAAAGAAAATTTAGTTTCAGGACAAGCCCTGTAGATTTCTGCATAAATGTTTGTGGGGCTCTACTGTACAGATACAGTTAGGACTTGCGGCACTGAATGTCTCATTAAAGCAGTTCTCCACTCTGTAAAAAATAGACAAATAAAAGTCAGCAGCTACAAATCCTGTAGCTGCTGACTTGTAATAATAGGACACTTACCTCTTCATGGATCCAGTGCTGTCCTCACCAGGCTAGTTCTTTCACTAGTCTTCGGGTTCCCAGCACCGGCATCTTAACTGTGGGCAGTCGACTGTGCTGCTTGCAGCTTCCCAGCTGGCTGCTCACTGCACATGTGCAAGCCGTGCTGCGCTTTGTGAATGGTCCTGCAGTCTTCTGGGACCTGTGATGTTTCCTAGAAGACTGCAGGAAGGGAAAAGGAAAGGAGAACTTCCGCTTAGATTGCCTGTCAAACCTAGGTACCTGCTCCCTCCAAAAAAAGATTACATGCCAAACTAAGTAAAGGGGGGGGGGGGGGGGGTCGGAGGACTTAAAATGGAACTTCCCCTTTTGGGTTAAGTTCCGCTTTAAGTATTCATCTGGAAGGGGGGATAAAAAAAATGCATTTATTGTTTAAGCAAAATTCACACAGCAAACAAAATATGGAACAAAGAGCTAAAATGAGAAAGCTTTGTAAATACCTAATGTCACAGAAAGCATAGATTGCAGAACCTGGAGGTCACTCTGTTGCTGTTTAGTTCACCTCCTGACTTTCAAAAACACAGAGGTGTATATAGTTTTCATATGTTACCCTCTACCCTTCTGATTCACACGTAGAAGACTTGCCTTTAGGTATCCTTTTAATAACATTTTCAATAAAAAAAAAAAAAAATGAAAACCTCACCTGGTATCTCTGGAGCTCTAACAAGATTCACCATGTAATCCTCTTTGAAAGCCTGTTCTAACACATATCCCAGTATTGCTGCACAAGAACGCCAATATGCCTGAAACCCAGGAGAAAAGAATTAGAAATCCCATTACTAGCATTACCTGGTTAATACAGGCTTATCTGGCGAAATGGTGCAAAGAAAATTCATATATGAAAGGTAATATGCTATGGTAAACAGATAGACTGATTACATCACACTAAAATGAATTGGTTGCTAGAGGTAATTGTATTTGGCAAATAATCATTGGTAATTCCATCTGAATTTGCTCACCTGTATTTCTTGTATTACTTGTAACATAGGACCCTGAAAAACTTTCAAAAGGGTTCCCACAGCTAATAGAAGGAAGAGTCAGTGAAAAAAACAGCCCCTTTGTCAAGTATACAATATATGTCAAGGACTTTGGGGAAATCCTCATCTCTTTTTATTCTGCAGATACTGAGAACAGATCACTTTGGCCTACTTCAAGCTGATTGCTAAGTGGGAGGTCCTGCTTTACTATGCATTTCAGTGATTTAGAAATACTGCACACTGAACACCAGAAAAACTATGGAAAAACATAATGAATCAGAGCACATAGCACTGGTAAGCATAAACATATAAACAAAATTGTTCTTGGGTTTAGATACACTATATTGCCAAAAATATTGGGCCGCCTGCCTTTACACGCATATGAACTTTAATGGCATCCCAGTCTTAGTCCGTAGGGTTAAATATTGAGTTGGCCCACCCTTTGCAGCTAAAACAGCTTCAACTCTTCTGGGAAGACTGTCCACAAGGTTTAGGAGTGTCTATGGGAAGGTTTGACCATTCTCCCAGAAATGTGCATTTGTGAGGTCAGGCACTGATGTCGGACGAGAAGGTCTCCACTCTAATTCATCCCAAAGGTGTTCTATTGGGTTGAGGTCAGGACTCTGTGCAGGCCAGTCAAGTTCCTCCACCCCAGACTCGCTCATCCATGTCCTTATGGACCTTGCTTTGTGCACTGGTGCGCAGTCATGTTGGAACAGGAAGGGGCCATCCCCAAACTGTCCCCACAAAGCTGGGAGCATGAAATTGTCCAAAATGTCTTGGTATGCTGACACCTTAAAAGTTCCCTTTACTGAAACTAAGGGGCCAAGTCCAAACCCTGAAAGACAACCCCAAACCATAATCCCTCCTCCACCAAACTTTACACTTGGCACAATGCAGTCAGGAAGTACCCTTCTCCTGGCAACTGCCAAACCCAGACACGTCCATCAGATTGCCAGACAGAGAAGCGTGATTTGCCACTCTAGAAACACGTCTCCACTGCTCTAGAATCCAGTGGCGGCATGCTTTACACCACTGCATCCAACACTTTGCATTGCACTTGGTGATGTAAGGCTTAGATGCAGCAGCTTGGCCATGAAAACCCATTCCATGAAGCTCTCTACGCACTGTTGTTGTGCTAACCTGAAGGCCAGACGAAGTTTGGAGGTTTTTAGATACATTAGCAGATAGTTGGCGACTTCTGCGCACTGTGCGCTTTAGCATGCGCTGACCCCACTCTGTTACTTTACGTGGCCTACCACTTCATGGCAGAGTTGCTGTTGTTCCCAGCAGGGGCAGACTGACCATTTGGAAACTCGGGCACTGCCCGAGGGCCCGGGGTCAGTAGAGGGCCCCATGAGATGCCCCTGGTACCTTTTTCATAGGCTTTTTTGAGTTTGGGCAAGGACACAGGGGCCCCATGATCCCCTATTGCCCGGGGGCCCCATGAGTTGTCAGTCCGCCCCTGGTTCCCAGTTGCTTCCACTTTGTTATAATACTACTAACAGCTGACCGTGGAATATTTAGTAGCAAGGAAATTTCAGGGATGGACTTATTGCACAGGTGGCAACCTATCACAGTACCACGCTTGGAGTCACTGAGTTCCTGAAAGCGACCCAATCTTTCACAAATGTTTGTAGAGGCAGTCTGCATGTCTAGGTCCTTGATATTATACATCTGTGGCCATGGAGGTGATTGGAGGTGACAACTGAATTCAATGATTTGGAGGAGTGTCCCAATACTTTTGGCAATATAGTGTACATCGTAACAAGAGGTTCTTTCAGCTATTATTAAAATATGTTACACATTACATATTGTTTAAGACTTTTGCACATGAGAGTTCAAGTGGTTGTAAACCCTTATATATAAGTCACTGGTCTCAGGTTATATACAGAGATTAAACAAATCCTCCTACACAAGCTGTATCCATTTATCTGCAACAATCTCTTCTCTACATCCAAAGTGCAGAATTCATACAGCTTGTCAGAGTTCTGAAAAAAGGGTGTGGACCGCTGAAATGACACACTAAAAAGCTCAATGAGGAGAGCTCTGAGATCTGACTTGAGGGAAGAGACACAAAGCTAAAGCTGTCAGTCACAAGCTGTGTGATGGAGGTCCCTCCCTCCTCTGTCACCATTTTTTTTCTTGGTGTCAGAAAAACTTGTCAGAAATTAATCATGCTGATAGCAGAGGAACAAAGCAGCAGAGAGAAATGACAGTGCTCTTAAATGAGACAAGTACACACTAGAGAGGGATATGCTTTGTTCACATTTCATGTCTGAGGTTAACAACCACTTTAAATGTCAAATTGTTTTTTATTGATCTGAACACAGGTGCATTGTTGTCTATGGAACAAAGAATACAGCTGCGTAAAGATCATTAATACAGCAATGAGTATAGAGTCATGATCTAGAAATTTATAAAAAAAAAAAAAAATAACATTTCAGTGTGGTAATTTATGCACATATATTTGTATACATCGTAACACTAGAAGCTAAAAGAGGATGAAAAACAATTGTACGTGTATGTACCTATATGTGTGTATACACAAGGACTTTACAGAACATTTTACTCAGGATCTGTCAACAAAATCCTGAATGTAAGGTTTCATGCAAACTGTATTCTATAGATTTTAGCAGCAGGAGAAACGTGGTAAAAAGCCACGTTTTTGTATGCGTGTTCCCGCATCTGGCGTTAATACACTCTACTGAACAGAATTTTATATGCTATTATAATACATTAATGTGGAAAAACAGGAACACGCCTAAATGCCCCTAATGTTAATGTGTGTGTAGGTGCTTTTGAACGGTTTTTATGCATTCTCCTGAATACACAAGTGATTATTTTTTCTGCCTCTAAATGCCCTTGTCTCTAAACTCCTAGGTGTGCATATACATATAGGTTAACATGGAGGGATGACTATGAAAGCAGCATTTTTGAGCTCAAGTATGCATAAGGCCTAAACATTGGCAATTTTTTATGCCCATGTGCAAGAGGCCTTACTTTGGTATGAAACGGTTACTGTGAAAGCCGAGGAAGAAAAAGCTTTCCAGCAACAGATTCAATGTAGAGTAATGATGTTCTACATAGCTGGTAAATAATGCGGCGCTTAGCGTGTGGCGAGATTGTAACCCATAGCTGCAGTTTGTGATGTTCATTGGAAATGAAAAGCCCCAATCCTCCAAATGCATTAGGAACTAATTGAGTAGCTGGTTTCCTCCTGTTCATCATTTAATATGCTCAGACAAATATCTCTCAGGTGTGCATATTTGCCATTAGGAAATCTAAAATTAAGAAGCACATACTGTATGTTTGAGCACATCTACCCGACTCATCTGAAATCAAGAGCGGTTTCCTTACATGTCTTCTTGCTCCTAGTCTGAGAGCTAAAATCAGCTTTTGGTCCAATGTCCCTAAATCAGCATATAAATACATGTCCAAACAAGGCCCTAGGAGCCCCTAGCCAATAACCGGCACAAAGGGAGGCTTAGTGGAAGAGGGGTTTATAGTGGAGCAATCTCACCGGAGGTCTGATTCATTCTGCCTGTTTTATCGATTATGGAGAAAAAGGAGAGAATTAGTGTGTCTAATATGAATCAGGTACTACTTTCTCCTACTGAGGCAGACAGAACAGACCCCTAGATCTGCATTCACAAACAGGCCCAACATGGCCTTCCAATATATACTGTGGATGAGGACCTTGATGTGACGTAAAAGAAAGAAGTGGGAAAGAAAGAGATAAAAAATATCTAGATCAAATGACAATCTCTTGCCTACAGAAGCGGCAGAAACCCAGGAACCAAATACTCTAAGGGGGCACAGATGAATGGATAGGGTGGAAAGCCTGTCCTATCTAAATTACTGTTGGCCCTCAAGAGTCAGCACTGGCAGCCTCTATCTATTTACACCATCCATTTAACACTATACTGTATTAGGCCACTAGCTGTCAAACCTGGCAGTCACTGATAGCATTAGCCTTCATTAATGTTTTTAAACAAATTAGAGTGGTTAGCAATCATGTATTCACAATGCAAGCTTTGAACAAATGCAAGCTGAAGAGTTTAATCATAAAAAAGTGGTATTAAACCAAAAAGATAACATTTTTATTATATTGCAGCTTATCAGCTCCTAGATATGATGGCTGCATTAGTTTTCTTTCTAAGGTTGGCTTTCCTTTATTATCACCTGATGATCCTGCCAGTAGGTCTTGTTTTTCAACAGAACAACTTGTCCTGCAGATGTGGCAGTTAGGGGGGTTGAGACAAATCATTTACCACTGACAGGGGTGCATACAATGATCACCTTTTAATTATGTAAAACATTTATCTCCCCAAAAAAAAACTGTTGCTGTAACTGCTTATAAAGTGTTAGCTGAAGTTTGGCTTCAGTTTGTTATTGTATCTAAATCTGACAGCACATCTAACAGCACCTTCTCCACAGATTAACAGTGCTGCTGCCCAAAGGTATCTCTGCTGCTCCTACGTCCAGAGTGTGGGCACTAGAATACAAGAGATGTGTTACAGGCCAGATCACCAGGTGAAAACAGAGGGAAAAAACTGACTAAAATAAATAAACTAATGTGAAGAAAGGTCTCTGCAGCCTAAAGATGGCAGTGTGTAATTGTAATCAACAAAACATTATTTAATCAAGATATTTAAAATAGTTTTAAAATAATATGATAAATTTTTTTCATTTACATATGTTACTTACTATTTGTAAGCCTAAAATAAAAGAAAAACACTATTAAAACGTCAAATAAAATCCTTATGTTCTATTAAAAAAAAAAAAAAAAGTAAAAAACGGATTTAGGTAGGCAAATTAGTCACAGCTTTATAATCAAGTTAACCAAATTCATACTGACGGCCGCCTTTGGTCTAGGCCAGCCTTTCTCATCTGGGGTGCCTTGAAGTTTCTTCAGGGGTGCCTTGGCAAGATGTCTAAAAATTGCCCAAAACTTGTATACAAGCCAGCGGATGGAACAAGCCTGACCTTTAGTTACACAAAGCCACAGGTTTTCATTGTACGCCATTACAACCTTCTAGACACCAACGTCCTGACAACAAATGACATCATCAGTTGATGAGGAGGATGTCAGCTGCCTGCACAGCAACCTAGTTTGACCTTCCCCTGCTCCTCTCCATCAGTGCTGGGTTCACATTAGCTCAGTGATGGAGAAAAACTGAGGGAGAAGAGAAACACTGGAATACTAGTCAGTAGCAGTGAGCAAACGTGCATTTGCTTTGGAAGAATAAATCACCTCTAATGCTGGGAGTCCTACATGTGTGGATGCTGCGGTGTTATATAAAGCTATTAGAATAGTTTTTCACATTTTAGAATGGGGTGCCTCAAGACTGTGCATAATTTTAAAGGGTGCCTCGGGACAGTCTATAATTTTTTAGAGTGCCTTGACCGAAAAAAGGTTGAGAAACACTGGTCTAGGCAACTAGGTCAGCCTTTTTCAACCAAGGTGCCCTCAAGATGCTTCATGGGTGCCTTGGCAAAATGCCTAAAAATTGCCCAAAAACTGTCAACAAGCTAGCAGGCGGCTCAAGCCTGCCTTCTTGTTACACAAAGCCACAGGTTCTCATTGTGCAGCATTATAACCTTGGGCAGCGTGTGGGTCAGCCGCCGGTACCCTAGCAACCATTTGAAAACATTGGTTAACAAGTAGGATGTTGGGCAACTGCACAGCATCCTTGTTTGCTCCTCCCCTGCCCTTCTTCATCAGCACTGGGGGTCACATTAGCTGAGTGAAGGAGAAGACAAATGGTGGAATGCCAGTCAGTACCAGAGTGCAAAAGTGTATCTGCTTTTTAAGAATAAATCACCTCTAATGTTGGGTGTTCTACGTGTGTGGATACTGCTGTGTTATGAAAAAAAAAAAAAAAACTAAACTAAAAGTTTTACATATTTTATAATGGGATGCCTTGAGCAAAATTTCAAAGGGAGCCTTAACTGGAAAAAAAAATTGAGAAACACTGCTCTATGCCGTGACCTCTGAGCACATAGACTTCAATGTCCTCCAAGCACAAAGGGTTAAACTACTAATTTCAAAAGGTGTAGGGTACCCAAACCAAACAGTCATATCGCTAACAAGTGTGTGCTTTCCATCAAAGGTAAAACATCTGTGTTATATAGCTTAAACTGAAGGAATGAAAGCGCTGAAAATAAATGTCTACTGACCTTATTGACTTCTTCTGGATCTTCATCTTTGAAGGTAAGAAACTGGATATTACAGGATTTAGTGAGAGGTTTATACATATCCCAAACCTCACCGTCCACCAGAGCTAGCACAGACTTTGCACAGTACCATTCATTGAGATCTGGAAAGAAACAGTAAAAGTAAAACATGACATCTGATCACGCAGAAAGGTAAATCAAGTTTTAACAACCCCTATATCTAGTCTTCCACAGTACACAGAACATGGAAATGCAATTATGTTAGTAAATATAAATGGCTAAATACATTATCTCATCAGCAGTTAGAGCAGTTGTGTGACTTCTGTCAGTGTCTGGCCGAGCAGTGCTTAAAGCTTGTAGGAGGAGTTTTCATTCTGCTCTGACTGTCCTATGAGGCTATATAACCCCTGACCCTCTGTCTGGACAACCCCAACTGGCTCTTTGAGAGGGTGCATGTGATCAGCAAAGAAAAAAAAAAAA